TACATTTCTTTCTTATCCTTGATACTTTTCCTTCTTTATCATTTTTAACCTTTCTTTCAATCCTTAGCTTCCGTCAAACATACAGATCCTTTACTTTAATACATTCACTATCTCACTACTTTATTATTCGACTTATTCATTTCAATCAAAACATAAACCTTCATTAAACTATTCATATATATATATATATTCTTTACAGTCAAAATAATTCATTCGCTCTTTCCTTCACTTATCAAACCTTCATTCTCTCTCATCTATAATACGATTCCTTTGGTTCGAATTCAACCATTCCATTTACCTTTGTCTTATAATTGATCACTGATATACATATCTTAAACCCTTCCTTGGTCTTTTAATATTCTCTAATTAACATCAATCTCTTCCACTTTATCTTGCCCATGCTGTAAAGAAATTATTCTACTTCAGAACGATAAAGTTCCTTTAATACTATAGTTTCCAATCCATCTGAACAGATTGGCTTTATTCTCTAGCGGAGAATACAACTAATTCATATATGGTTTAAAGTTGAAAACCATATTCTATATCTTTCTTTGATGGTGCTTAACTTTATTAAGCACTAATTTTCTTAATCCTCTAAGATTTATTTTCCCAATCCTCTTATTCTGAGCTCTCTCAAGAACTTTAACGCGATTAACCATTTCTTAAAATGAAAACAAATTTAAAACCAGTAACACTCTTTTAATCTAAGGCACAACAAGCCATATACAACCAATCACATGTATCATTCTTATCTTTCTTAATCAAAATCAACCCAGCAATAAATCTGCTTAACTTATTAAACTTATACTCATACGCATGCATGTGTAATTCTCTTGCTTCAAGTTCATATATTTGAACTTCGTTTATCTTATGAACTGATTATCCTTGTACTTATTCTTGAACTCTTCTACAACAATAACCACATTACTTAATCTTTTAACATTCTTATGGTGACATTTGTCCACCATACTTCTAGACTACCCATGTAGTAACAAAACTACTCAATTTAACTTCTCCACTTTGGAGAAATGAAAACCTTCTAACATTATCTTCATATAATTTAATCAAATCTCTATAACAATAGAACATTTCTCAAATTCACCCTTGAACTCGAGTATTCTCAACTTTCTTCGATACATTCATTCTATGAATTATAGCAGTATAAAATTGAAATCATACTAAAATATCATTCCACATCATATAATATTCTCTAGTCTTATACAGACACTCCTTGAGGTTTTCGCTCTTCTCCCTGCCTAGCTAGGGCAGGTGAATGCTATTACCTTCAGTCTATTGCCTTGTGTTTCTGTTTGGAAACTTTCATATATTAATGTGCTCATATCATTTCTTCTATCACATATCACGTGTACATATGATCAACTAATTCATATCATATAACATGTCATTTGCATATGTTCACATATCATCTATCATATCATATAAACATATATATATAATAAATCATTCTCAGGTATTCACTTATCTTATATAACATAAAAAATTTAACTCTATTAACAAGACATCACACTCCTTACCCTATCATATCAGAAAATTTCCACTTTATGTTGGCATGTATACTTTTTTTAAAACACTTTTGACTTCATTTTTAGTCTAGAATGGCTAAACCGTAGCTCTGATACCATTAAATGTAACACCCAACCCGTACCTGACCCGGATACGAATCCGAGGTGTCACACTGACATAACAAATCATTTACTTACATAAAATAGTGAGTAATTTAAAAACTTTTATAACATATAATTGACCAATTTACATAAAATACATTTTCGTTATTGCAAAACCGATCAGAGCGTGCATAATTTACTTATTCATTTATATATAACTTATTCAAAGCGTTTACAAAATTATTCCGAGATTATACAACATATTCTTTTGAATACATGCCAACATGAACTTATATATATACTAACACACATATTGTTCATTTTTTTTCTGATCTGACCTTCAGTAAGGAGAACTGACCTGTCTTGCACCCCTACTATCCATAAGCTTGTAAGAACCTGCGTGTGAAACACTCACACGCTAAGTCTATGACTTAGTGAGGCAATAAACATATAGTGTAAACATTATCTAATAATCATACATAAGCAATTACTACTATCATTCCATACAATTCATATACTTTTACATGTAACAAATACATATATACACATATATATCATTATCATTCATATCTCTTATCACTATCATTGATTCCTTTTATCGTATGATCTTATAATTACCCTTGAACAATCATATCAAGTTTTTAATATTATCTCTTTATTAGCCCATGGTATACATGTGAGAACTGTAGATACGTGAGTCTATTGAGGTTGTGCACCACTATACAACTCGTATAAATGTCCTGAAGACCTATCCAGAGGTCATAAAGATCCTCGGTAACTATCCAGAGGTCATAAAGATCCTCGGTAACTGTCCATAGGTCCCGAAGAACCTAGGTAAACTGTCCATATGTTCCTTAGAACATAGGTAAACCCTCGACTCTTGGCATGCCAACTATACCCCTAGCTCTCGTATAACATAACATGGGCATTATTATTTATGTTATCACACTTTCACATATTCACATGTACATGTCACTTTCATATGATTCATATTCATATGTCATTTAACTTGTAACACTTCTCATGTTCATATAACATGAATATCACTAGTATCTCTTGTTATCATATGCTTCACATATATCATATATATCACATTCATCTTTCCATTTATTTACATAAGCCACATAACATTTACAAGAACATATCCACACATATAATCAAACATACATGCATTTTCATGTCATTCATTTCACTCTCTATATCCTTATCACATAGCTTATTTGATCTCTCATGTTCTTATGTAACCACATATATATATCACACAACACATAGAACATGTTAAACATATCACATACAATAACATTTTAAGAGTTACTTCTTACCATAGTAACTCGTCAGTGGCTCATCGCAAGCCAATGTTCGTTTTATAAGTACAATTTAAATTGCACTCACCTTAGCCTTGTTTGCTTTGAATCAATCCTAATCATTCGATTGTTCCGGAACAATATTACGCTCTAAATCTACATATCAATACATTGATACATATCAGTATACTAATTACATTAGATATATCTTAAACTATCACTTCTTAGGCTAATAGAAAAGCTAATTTCAACTCTTAATGAAGGTATGCATCGATGCACTTACTTGTGCATCGGTGTACAAAATACATTCGATGTTTTTGTATCAAGGGAGTGCATCGATGCATGCCTTATGCATCAATGCACTAATTGCATTCGATGTTTCTTCTTTAAAGGGTGCATCGATGCACTTTGAATGTGCATCGATACACCTTACCCAGAAATTGTATTTCAAGCCCGAAAATCATCAACTCTTCATTCAATTCTTCTATTTTAAGCCCCTATCATGTCATTAAACTCAACTATCACTTCATAAACCACTTATATCCATATAAACTATCTTTATTTTCTATATCTATTCATGATTCTTAAAATTAAGAATCATACCCAATTTTTCATGTTATCTAAACTTTGATTTAACACTTATAACTTCTTATTCACACCTATGACAAGTCAAATTCCATCTCAACGTTCATTTATTAACTCTTTTTCAGAAATTCACTTTAAAACTCATTTTCTTTAATCTTTTATAACCTCTTCATCTTTTGATTTTAACCCCACTTAAATTTTAGCTAATAATCAACAACTAAGAAATCTTACATTTTCCATGGAGCTTACGGGGAGAAGAAGGAGAAGAAGAAAAAGAAGGAAATAAGCTTCTAGATATTCCCCACCCATATGCTTATCTCTTTAATAAGAGTTAAATATTTTTTTCATAAAAAGACCATTATATCCCTTCCATAATTCCATAATTACCTTTTAATCTAATACTAAAATATTCTTACTTAAATCATTGAACTTTTTAATAAATTATAATTTTGTCACCAGATTTTTGAAAATTTACAATTTGGTCACTAACCCATAATTTGGGATGTTACACAATTAATGGTGTTGATATGATATCTCACTATACTAACATGATAGTTCACGGTAAACCATAAATTCCTAAATTCTCAATACTCAAATCTCTAATTCCAAAGTTTATATTGTCGTTGGCCACCACCAACATCTTCCACCCACCTATCATCGGACCCTCATTGTCAGACATCCTCATTATCATCGCCTCAATCCCATAAATCCTAAACTTAAATCTCTATTTTTTTAAAATTATTAAATTCATGTACCCAAATTCCTAATTCCAAAGTTCATTTCTGCCACCGCGTCGTCAAACACCCTTCACTCGTCGTTGGACCCCAATTACCGGTCATCCTCTTGTCATTGCCCAAATCCCATAAAAGATTTTATGAATTTTAGGATGTTTTATGAAAATAAAAAAATTATGGCCTTTTATTAAGAATTCAAGAATTTTATTTAAAAAAACAGTTAAAGAAAATAAAAAAATTAGAACACATGTCAAATATTGATTGGTTGATCAATTTTTAATAGATTTTTAACAATCTTGTCGGTATTGATCTTAAAATAGTAATTTTAAAAACATTAAACATCTACTTTGATCCAATAAAAATTTTAAACACCTAAAATTTAAATACTTATTTTTCAGTTAAACCTTAATAAATTTATAAACCATCCAATAAAAATATAAACCCTCCTCACGAAAGATCGTTGAATTGCATCTCTCTGTTCTATACCTTAATTATAAAGGTTTAATCATACTCTATAGATATTATCTAGAGGATTATCTTTTATCAAGAAAGAAATTAACCTTATTCATTTACATTTTCTACCTATCACGAATATCTAGTTTATTAATATAACTAATTATCAAATAATTTTTCACCAATAAAATTATATTAAAATACAATTAAATCTTATGGATCGAGATTTCGGTCTATTTCTATCAATATTATAACAAGGGAAAAGGTTTATATATATATATATATTATAGTTTCAATATTTTTTTCTTCTATACAAGTCAAATAAATGAATAATGAATTGTCATATATGTTGAAACCTAGAGTAACAATGCAAGCCCCGTGAATTATACAAGATATTGGATGACGGGCTAAAAGAATCGTTGATGTTCTTAGAGATTACAGATTTTAGCACCAGCGACTACAAAGTTGATTGAACGTTCTTTGATTATGATTGGGATTATTTAAAACATATACTACTTTGTAATCAATTTTAGCTTAATAAAAAAAATAAATCAAAATAAAAAAAGTCACTATATGTTTAAATTTAAAAAAAAATCAATTTAATTAATATTTTTTTAGAATATTTTCCAAAGACATATTTCGGACACGTAAATGCGTGACACTGCCTATTTTCTTTTGACTATAATAACATGAATAAGTTGACAAAACTGTTTACCTATGTGATTCAATTCAATGCATGTTATGTGACCTTTTTTTATCACCGACGAATCAAGAAAAAAAATGAAGCGATCGAAGTCTCCCCCTAAACCATTTAATTTTATGTATATTAAAAATATACAAGTTTTAGGGTTTGAATTGATATCTCTGTTTATATAAATGTTTACCGAATAAATTCAATTAAATAAATATTTTTTAAATTTTAAAATAATAAATATTATTATAATAATTTTATCTTTTCATACCATTATATATTTTTTTAAATAAATTGTTTTGAAAAGTATTAATTAAATTAAAAGTCAAAGAATTAAACACGAAATTGATAAAAAAAAAATAGATATGAATCTTTTAACACTTCATCTATGATCATTTTTATTAAATAATTTTTTATACTTAATATGTTCTTCCTCTTAGATCATGAATATAACATAATCTAATTTATTTTAAATCCTACAAATTCAAAGGTAAGCATAAAATCTCATGTTAAATTAAACATTGTAATCGATTAGCTACAATTGTATATAATTTAACAATGTTTTAATAATAATAATATATATTAATTATGCCGTCAGCTTTTTTTCTTGACGATTTATTCAAACATTTTCTACGTGAAAGGCATGCATTTATGATTAGAGATTGAAGGAGCACGCCGATTACATAAATTTCAAAATTTTGAAGGCTATCGTGTACGAATGTCTAACATTGTGTGTATAATTAAAAAAATAAATAAAACAAAAAGTCTTCAACAAACAGCGAGATAAATGCTTATTATTTTCTATAAATATATTTTTAATAGACAATTTGATAAGCTTTGTCCATTAAGTCTAAAACAAAAATGAAGGGGATCGTGTGCCCAACCTAGGGCTGTAAACGAGCCAAGTCGAGCTCGAGTAGTGTTGAGCTCGACTCGACTCGAAAAGTGTAAAATTGAGCTTGACTCGGCTTGAAAGCTTACGATCTTAAATTTTTTTTTCACTCGAAATCAAAAATTGAAGTTCGACTCAAATTTGAACCCGAACCTTAAATACATGAAAACCTTCTATAATATTTTTTTTAAAAATAACATACAAATGGTAATGTTATTATTAATTTAATTTCAAAAATCCAAAATTTTAATATATTATTTTTTTGATTAGCTCGCGAGATTTTCGAGTTGAGTATCAAGTAACTCACTTGGGCTCGTTAAGAATTCGATTAGAGTATTAATCGAACTTTGAGCGAGTCGATCTCGAGTAGCTTGCGATCTGTCTTGTGTCATTTACAACCCTAGCCCTAGCCACTATGGAATAATTCCCATTATATTTTTATAGATGTACTTTAAAGGAATGATTTAATCAATGATGCCAAAATAGAAGAGGCTTAAAATACAAGATAAGAAAGTTTAGGTACATGATATATATAATTTTTTAATTTCAAAATTGCATTCAAGCCACACAACATGGTCGTCATGAATGAAGTAATTAAGTCGTCAAGGATTGGTTTCCATTAAATCTATATGATCTATAGATATATAAAAGTAGGGTTTGAGTTTTCAATGAATTTGTCGGAGTGCAAATAAGATAACTCACACACTAGCAAGAGTGGTTTTATTACATGCAATCCGTACCACTTTTAACTTGATTCCTTGTTGTATTTGAGAGTTGTTGTATGCTGATATTCCGAGTATTGATGGCAATGAAGGTATAGTGATAGAGTGTAATGGGCTTGTGCGTTAGTTACCCTTCTTTTGCTATCATGTTTTGTTAGGAATTTAGAAGAAAAAAATTTGAGATCAATATGAAATAAGATACACAAAAGAATAATATTTAATGTGAATTGATCTTGGATGAGATAAACAATAATCCACTATATACATAAAGATCACAAAAAAATACAAATACATAATTTTTTTTTTGTGTATGCCAAAATGTGATATATATCCCAAAACTCTCTTCTAACATCTCTAAAAAAATCAACTATGCAATTTGTCCAAGCCGTTTTGTGGTGGTTTTAATGTATTTAGTCTTTGAAGAGCTCGATGTGTGTTTGAAGTCACCAACGTCATTTTTGTTAGGTATGATCAAATACTCATCAATCTTGTTGAAAACATTTTGATGTTTCGATATAACAAATTAAATACTATTAAATTTTAAGATTTTATTCAATTTTAAATCGTATATTCGATTAAATTATTCAAATATAAAAAATATTACTCCAAGTTTTCAAATGTCAATTTTAATCCTTGCTTAAGTGTAAAATTGTGTTTTAGTCTTAAATTATTTTTGAAACAATTTTTACAAAGTATTTCGAACCTTAATCGGGCCAAAAATAGTTTTTACAAGGGATGTACCGATACACTCTTGTATGTACCGATACACCCCCTACATTGAATGTATTTTGTGTACCGATACACAGCTAATGCATCGATACACTCCTGGCTCCGAGAAACATCGAATGTAATTAGTGTATCGATACACATGGGATGTACCGATACACTAGGTCAACCAACGGTCGAAATATTTGAATTTTGCACTGAGTGTACCGATACACCTAGAGAGTGTACTGATACACCTATGCTCCTAACAAATTTTTTATATGATAATTACACTATAACGACTCTATTGACTTCACCAATGATCCCCAACGTTCAGAAGTGATCCAAGGTGTATTTAAACAAGCTCAAGAGCCATTGATCAAAAACAAGAAACAAGAATCAAGAGAGAATCAAAGAGAAAGCACCAAACCTTATTGTTTGAGCATTTCAAGCCAATTTTCCTTCAATATTCATTTTGCTTTCAAGAACACCATTTTGTGCTCAATTGTATTCATTCTTGAGTGTTATTTCTTTGTTCTAGAATTGTGCAAACATCTTGCCTTGTGAGGTTTTCTGTAAGTTTGCAAAATTTGTATTTTTCTCTTTGGGAGAGAGTGTTCTCAAGAATTTGGGGTATAATTCTTGAGCGAGTTGTAAGGTTACTCTTTGTCTTCGAAAGAAAGACAGATTAGTGAATTTGTGGAAAATCCTTAGTGTGGATAGATAAGGTAGTTGACGTAGACTTGGTTGAGAAGTCGAACCACTCTAAATCGTTGTGCAATCTTTTTCAATTTCCTGCAAAAGCTTCCACCAAAATTTTATTGCCAATTCACCCCATCTTGACTATTACATCGATCGATTAACTCAACAAATCTATTCTATGTCTACACTGAGATCATGATCGGATTCGAGAAACAGTTACATATGAAAAAATTAAAACTGCGTCCAAAAGTTAGTACCTGAAAGGAGGTATGCTGTCTATAAAAGGAGGCTACAAAGACATGGTTAATAGCAATTCTAATTATGATGAATAATGATACAAGAAATAATGTGAAATAATAAACATGCATAAGAGCTTAGTTGCGAATGATATAATTCATATGACTAGGAACTTGTTAAGGAGCCAAATTAGGGTCAAATTGAAGTCAATTTGGAGAGTGGCAGTTGATGATGGGAAACTTTGGTCAAATTTATGAGTTAAATTGATATTTTATCTAAAATTTAAGGTTAAAATAATATTTATCTAAAGTTTAGGAGTTAAATTAAAAATTTACTCTTTTTATTGATGATGATGAGATTGAAGAAGAAGATCAACCTATACGAATAAATACTGTTTGAAATAGACAATCACTTCTCTATAGAACACATTCATGAAGAAGACATCATTAGTTTATATAATTTTATCTTTTTTATTTTCATATTAATTTAGGAGGTTTAAAGTTATATTTAAATTTTTTTTTTTATATTTAATATTATGATCTAATTGAATGTTATATTTTTTATATTTAGTTTTTAATGTTATATTTTGTAAATTATTTTATGTTTTTTAATGTTATCTTTTGTAAATAATTTATTCTTTTTTAAATATAAAAAGCAGAATGTGTCTTACAGGTGGACTGTCGGATTAGCATAAGACGCTTCCTACAGAATACGTCTTTGATGAGTCGGATGTCATGTGTGTAAAGCACGTTCTATAGAACACGTCTTATTACCATGTTACACTAAAGAATGACATTTTGATCAATATTGGCGAATAAGTTACAGTTCAATAATTAATCAATTTTAGGGTATTTTTAGGTAAAATCGCCCTACTATGCTACATGCCAACTCAATATTTCTTCTTTAACTAAATTATATTCAAGTGGTAAGCAACTTGATATCGCTTAAACAATGTCTTGAGTTTGAGTTCTTGTGTATGCAGAAAATTCCTATTGGGAGACCCACCAAAGTCAGATGTGCGACGCATGTCGGTCTGGATTAGTCAAAGTGAAACCTTAGAATCGGGAGAGCAACAGAAAAAATATGTTCTCTATCTTTAATTAAATGAAGTATGAAATATAAACGTTATATTTAAAAAGTTAAAATTTATACCATCTTATTTTTTTTAATTTTAAATTGTATTTTAATAATTTACGTAATTAATATTTTGGGTAAACTACTTTTTGGTCAACCATCTATTTCTATATTTTTATTTTGACCATTCAATTATTTTTCTCAAAATTTGTTAAAAACACATTAACATTTTTGTACGAGAAAAGATGGCACACTAAAAACTTGAAGAACATTGAAAACATGTCA